AGGCAGCACAGGAGCAAGCCAGGCAATCATGGGGGATGAGTGATTTCTAGGCTGGGACAGCGGTGTGTGCTAAAGACCTGAAGTAGGAACGTCTCAGAGACAGCTGTGTGAAGAGAGAGGGGGAAGATGATGGTGAGGGGCGTGTGCAGAAGGGATGTGAACGCAGTGCCCACTGTTAAAGATTTTGGGTCATTTCTGGCCCCAGTGGTTCACGCCTGTAATCTTAGCTTCTTAGGAGGCTGAGAGCTGAGGATCACAATTCCAAGACAGTCCATGCCGGAAAGTCCGTGAGAATCATCTCCAGTTAACCATCAAAAAGTCAGAAGTGGAGCTATGGCTTAAGTGATAGAGCACTATTCTTGAGTGAAAAATTTCCTGGACAGCATCTGGGCCCCTAGGCCAAGCCCTAGTATCTGCACAAAGAAAGGAAAAAGAGAAAGATTTTGGGCTCATAACCCTTTTCAGAAGATTTTATTGTCTGTCGTGGGGCTTGAACTCAGGGCCTAGGCACTGACCCTGAGCTTTTGTGCTCAAGGCTAGCGCTCTATCATTTGACCCACAGCTCCACTTCTGGTTTTCTGGTGGATAAAACCAGACTTTCCTGCCCAGGCTGGCTTTGAACCATGATCCTCAGATGTCAGCCTCCTGATTAGCTAGGATGATAGGCATGAGCCACCAGCACCGGGCTTAGAAGGTTTCTATAGGAATTCAAGCTGGCAAAGCTGGTAGTTTGGACCCAGGAGGTCGAGGACCAGGGAGGCCGAGTCGTTTAGGGAGGCTGTGGACCAGGCAGGCCATGGGCAGGCTGGGCAACCGGAAATCCTCAGATACATTCTGAAAGTCAAGCTCAAGGTCTTCCCGCTGGACTGGACTCTGTGTCTCGGAGGACCGAGGCTGAGGAATCGTGAATTCACTTTAGGGGACGTTAAGCTTTAGGCACCGGAGCCATTGAGGGGGACCCAGGTGTGGGGACAGGCCAGAGAGCAGCACTAGGGATTGGTCAGCAGGGATGTGAGCTGGGAGCCCAATCCCTGTGGGAGGAGCAGTGGCAGGGAGGGGGCGGAGTCTGTACTGGGGAAGCCGGCTGTGTAGCTGCCTGTGGGACCCCACTGGTTTGGCCTGGCCGCAGGGGGACCCGCCTCAGTGATTAGGTGGAGTTACAGGGTGGGTGGGATCCAGGGTGCCACAGGCTCCAGGACAGCGTGGGTTTGGGACCAGAGAGTGGGCTCAGCTGCTCTTTGGTCCCGTGCAGGGACAGCAGGAATGAGGAGGGGTGGGCCTTTCTTGCTGTGTTCAAATGCATATCAGCAGCTTGTCTGAGAAGCTCCCCGGGGTCCTGGCTCTACCTGGGTAGAAGTTGTGGGCAGTGGGAGAAGCCCTTCCAGTGGGGTCTGTGCCAAGCTCTTGAATGCCCCAGGCCCAGGGGCTAGACTGGCAATCCAGAGGCTCAGGGCCCCGAGGTGCGAGGGCGCCGGGCAGCAGCAGGTGGCAGCTCACTGTAAGTAATCCCAGCTGCAGCAGCAGGCAACACCTGCTAGTGCTGATCCTGGGACCCTGGGCTCCTGTGTGTGTTGGGGGCAGTGTCACAGCCCTCCGGTCCGGGATGTCTGAGGCCCCTTGTCAGTCCACGGTCTGGTCCTGGGGCCTGAACTCTGGGCCTGGGCTCTGTCCCTCAGCTCTTCAGCTCAAGGCTAGCGCTCTACCACTTGAGCCACAGCGCCACTTCCGGCTTTTTTCTTTTTGCTTATGTGGTGCTGAGGAATCGAACCCAGGGCCTCACGCATGCAAGGCAAGTGCTCTACCACTGAGCCACCTTCCCAGCCCCCTGCCATTTCTCTTTTTTGATTCTTTACACCCTCCTGTCTTTCTTCAGTTTGACTCTTTCTCCACTTTAAACATTCTTCCCTGTCTCCACCCTCCGGCAGCCTCATTGTTTGCCTCAGGCCATCTGAAACTCCTCAGCTGCTTGGAGCATGCTGCCTTGGCTGGTGTTCCTTTAATCTGTTACCAGCTCAGCCAGCTCTGCTAATGAACCACTCAAGACTGACTGGAGCTGGGTGCCGGTGGCTCACACCTGCAATCCCAGCTACTCTGGAGGCTGAGATCTAAGGATCACAATTCAAAGCCAATTTGGGCAGAAAAGTAAAGTCTATGTGGCTGTTTTTTTTTTTGTTTTGTTCTGTTCTTGGTCGTGAGTCCTGAACTCTGGGCCTGGGCGCTGTCCCTCAGCTCTTCAGCTCAAGGCTAGCGCTCTACCACGTGAGCCACAATGCCACTTCTGGCTTTTTTCTTTTTGCTTATGTGGTGCTGAGGAATTGAACCCAGGGCCTCAGGCATGCAAGGCAAGCACTCTACCACTGAGCCACCTTCCTAGCCCTATGAGACTCTTGTCTCCAAGGAATGGCCAATAAGTGGAGCTGTGGCTCAAGTGGTAGAGCACCAGCCTTGACAGAAAAAGTTAAGGGATAGCACTGTGACTAGAGAAACACCTTACACACCTCCTTCCTAAGAAGGCTGCTGGGCTCGTTTGGGAGTCTGCCCAGAGGCACTTTCTCCTACTCTCTGGTGGTATTGCAACTTTAGACCCAATAAAAGTTTGTTTGCTGGTACTAGGGCTGGAATCAGAGCCTGGACACTATATCTTAACTTTCCCCCTCCTCTATCTGGCTTTTTGGTGGTTAAGTAGGAATAAGAGACTCATGGAATTTCCTACCAGGCTGGCTTGTAACCATGACCCTCAGATCTCAGGCTCCAAGTAACTGGGATTATAGGCAGGACCACTGGAACCTGGCACAGGATCAGCAAACTTCCTTAGAGATCTGAGTTCCACCCCTGCCTTTAGGTGACTTGTAGAAGGGACACAGGCTCAAGGAACCTAGTCCTGCATTCATGAAGTACGTGCTGTGTGCCTGGCAGGGGAGCACTTGGGGGAGGGGCTGTGACCTCTTCACAGGTAGAGATGGGGCTATGAACAAAGCGAAGGTGGTCGGATGGTCTCAGAGGAAGACAGTGCTTCTGACTGGTCCTCCTTAACTTTGTCCCTGACCCAGAATCACTCCTGAAGCAGAGCCACACAGGGCTACCTGATTTCAGCAGCCACTGTCACCTGTGAACTCTTGGCCAGGCTGGGGGGGAAGGGGGAGGGCGCGTGGAAAGTTTCTCTGGGAACATGCTGTGGTCAGAATTCACACTCAGGGCTGAGTACAAATGTGACAGAGATCATGGGCTGGAAGAGAGGACACAGAACCCCCTGGCCACCCTGTATGACGTTCATCCTTGGCCCAGGTTCTGCCGTAGTAGGGGGGACTGAGGTGGGAGGCTCCTTGTCTGATCCAGAGGCAGAAGAGGTAACCTTAGGGGGCTGGTGCCACAGAGGAGCAGAACCTTGGAGAAGCACCAACGTGGCAGGGTGGGGCCGGGGAGAGGCCACAATAAGCCGAGCCTGGAAGGCCCTGATAAAGAGAGTGGACTTTATTCAGAAGAGGGCTGTGCAGAGTGATTGCCAGAAAGATCCTGGGGTTCTTGCCCAGGGTGCCCCAGGGGGATGGCATTGCTAGACAAGGGCCAGGGCAGGTGGGTTGGAGGGCATTGGTTCCTGGTTTGGGGGACACCCCCCCATGAAGGGCTGATGGGGACATCTTTGGTGGTTCCAGGGGATCCTCTCAAGTGCTGCCTCCAGCCACTGTGGTCATAGGAGGGTTGGGTTTCTGGGTCCCTGGGTGGCTTCTGAGGTCGGAACCCTGGCCATCTCCCAGTAGGTCCCCCCCATACTATGTGCTCCCCTGTCCCACGCACTGGGTTTTTCCCTTCCTCATCAGCTTGGCTAGTTCTGACCACCAGAGTCAGGAACACCTGACTTTGGCTCTATGTTACTGCCGCCTTGCCTCCCGGCAGGCCGTCCTCCCCACCTCTCCGGACACCTGAGTTCGGGTGTTGATCCCACCTCATGAGGTGCTTCCTGACCAGCATCTCCCTGCTGGCGTGGTCCCTGGGATGATGGGACTCGCTGGCACTACTGGACAGCAAGCTGCCCACCCCGGCACTTCCTCAGGCAGCGCCCCCATCTCTGTTGCGTGCTTATGCCGTGGGCAGAGACGCTGCCTGGATCCCTGCCAGGGGCCACTACCAGGAAACGTCTTCTTTCCTCAGAAGCTTGCTGGGCAGGCTCAGGGCCTGGCTGCGAAAGGTCAGCTAAGACTTCAGGCGCCTTAGGTGAGTCCAGGTGGCACAGACAGGCTTCCCCCTGGGGCAATGTAATTCCACACATTGCTCCAAGTGGGAAAGGAGAAAGCAGGTGTCCAAGAATCGTAGTTCCTGCACACACTCCCAGGGGGTAGGGGGGGGACACACCCCAAGAAGAAGACACCCTGGGGGTTTCCCCACTCTGTCCCCCTGTAGCTCACTATTTCCCTCTAGGCCCGCAGCCCAGGCCGGATCCCCGCCTGCCTGGCACCTCCGCACCAGGCTTGCGAAAACCAAGGGCTCCTGCAGGCCCAGGAGGCTGGGTCTGCCCCAGCCTCAGTTTCCTCATTTGTCAGCAAGGCCCTTCCCTTTCACTTTCCCATGCTTCGAAGAGAAAGAAAACCCCGACGCCTCTGCAGGGAACCGCCCTGCGTCCAGGCCCCGCCCCCCCGCTCCCCTTCCCGGGATCCGGACGGCGGGAGGCGGGGCCTCCCAGAGGGCGGGATTTTTTTGGTGGGCGTGTCCTGGAAAGAGGGGCGGGTCGCAGGAGCAGGAGCCTATGCCGAGCGTCGGTGGCACGGGGCGTGGCCTCCTGGAGGCGTGGCCGGAGGGGAGCGTGTGTAGTGTGGGCGGGGCCTGCGGTCGCTCCGCGGCGTCTGGGTCCCGCGGCCGCAGGCACCGATTGT